GGATGGGCTATGCTGTTCTAAAGACTCTGCATAGCCCACACCCTTGTATAGCTCGCACCCATCCGTCAAGTTTGTAAAACGTGTATAGCCCACAGGCTATATGCACAGAAATACAGTATTTACATTTTTATTAGTTAAATAAAGCCTTAAAATATCCTGACTAGAATAGACAATATTCTTTAAATTTAAATGTGTTTTACATCGAAAACTGACCTACTAAACAATGTATTAGCTAGCAGCTGGTGAACTGAATCGTTTGTTTCTGGACACCACGCCTTTCAAGGTTTTCAGATCTAAAAGAGGTCAGCCCCTTGCACCTCAAATATTACTCATAGTTTGGAAAAGGAAAACATGGCTTTCCTATGCTAATTTATAGATAAGTGATGTTTCATTTAAATCACAGAAATATGTGGATTTGGGGTTACTTTTTTTAAACTAAAAATTAGGGATTTTTATTAAATTACAGAAAACCAGGATCTGTGATACTGACACTCTGTGAGTGGTTACTCAATCATTCATGCATCCATCCAATGGCAATTTATGTAGCACACATTTCTTCAGCTTTCTTGGGACTATATTAATCTTAGAGCCCAGGTGTATTCCGTACATTGCATTCCTTTTAAACATCAATTCAGTAAAACCCTATCAAAGAAGGATATCAAAATGGTTTGGCATTTGTTATTAATAAATCTATGTTGATTTCTAGAAACCATCCCATCATCCTACAGGTATTCACAAACTGACTTGTTTTATGATTTGCTCTAGTAACTTCCCAGATCTTGAAGTCAGACCAACCAGAGTAATTTATGAGGTGTTTTGTCTTTCCCCTCTTAAAGGTAAGCACTATGTTAGGCCTTCTTTAGTATTCTGAGACCCTGTTTGTTAACCATGACTTTGCAAATAGTATTGCTGGTTAATCCAAGATTCTTCAATAGTTACTTTAAGACCCCGGAGTCATTTTCCAACTATTTCTCTGAGCTGATTTAAATCTGACTTTTTAAATTCCAGTTCTCGTGCCTTTCTTTCCTTAAAATGCCAATTAATGCTTTTTTTAATGTTATGTTTTCTAGTTAATCTTGCTTACTCCTTATGCTCCTTGAAGTAGTAGAGAAACACTGGTAAAATTGCCACTCAAAAAGGAACCCAAGTAACGATGAATTAGCCAGTAGCAATCAATTACAAGGAGCTGATAGTGAAGAGGGGGTCCTCACTGGTGAAGAATCAAAACAGGAAATCAGACCACAGCGGCAAATTCCAATAGATAAATTAACCAGGGTTTACTGCTTATCAATATCAAAAAACACTCTGCAGACTGCCTTGCTTTTTTTCTTTTAACTTTAACCTTTTAATCTTTATCTCATTTCCCCAAAATAGCCTTCTCTGGGGGAAAAATGCAACCCTACCACTTTCCCAACACTAAATCCAATGCTTATTCTGCTTTTATACAAAGGAAAATCACACAGATTGATTAGATATAGTCAGTATTTAGCTACAGAACATTCCTACCTCTGTTACACTGATGGGTAAGAGAAGACCTGAGATTGTCTGTGATTCTTCAAGAGCACTGAACGAAATCCTCAAAGGATCTACTGTCTGTTTCTGAAAATCCACATTTACTCTAAGAAAAAAAATCACAATGTGCATCAAACAATCAATTACAATATAATCAAATTATATTGATAATTTAATCAAATACAATATAATAATCTGAGCACTAATTATTGGGACTGTTGTTAAATTATTTAAAATTAATTTACCAATACTTTTAGTTTTCACCTACTTCCTACACTCATTTAACGTAAGAGGAACAAAAACAATTAAAATGCTTGCTCTATATGCCAAAATGTTTCTGAATAGTTGAAAAATATTAACTGTTTACTCTATAAAGTCATCCTACAGGATCCCAATTCACAAAACCCAACCCAGCCCACTTTTACCTGGGTCTCTAACAAAACCAAGACACTCCAATTTGACAAGAAAAGTATCAGTTCTGAAGTGCCCAGTTTCAGGATGGTCTTTGCTAACAATACATGAGGTATAAAGGGTCAAGATTATGAAAATCCAACAGACCACAGAGAAATTGTGTTTAATATGCCTGATATGGTATAACCAAAAAAGATATGCACTGAATAGCAGCCGTCTTAACAAAGCCTTCGATTCAAAAGCCTACATTTAACATTTACATGTTTTTATTATGGCATCTCTCTTGAGGTTGTGTTCTGAAATTAAAATATCTACATCCACTCTGGAACAAGGATTAATTCCAAAATAAACTGTTTTCAGAATGTATGTTCCCAGAAAATGACAATATTAATCCTCAGACCTTCCTGGACTAGGTTTCTTCAGGTTCTTTAATAATTAACATTCATATACATCTTGGCATATGTTTTTGAGTACGTTAATGCTATTACAAGAGCTTTGGGCAAAAAGCAGTATAATTAGTGGGAGCTGCACACTGGACTTCTTAGGCCCAATTTTGCTTTCAACAATTTTAATATTTTGAAATAGTAAATCCTGACTGTAGAAACTAATACTAGGACCTCAACAGAAACCTTTTACTTGCATAGGAACAGCTTGTGTACCAGACACTTCTAAGAAAACCTCTTCACTGGGACCAGGGACGTGGCCTATATGTGTAATCTCCCTTAACTGTATCCGTGTCACCAGTAGGTCCCCTCCCAGAATACTCCCCAGTCTCCTCCTGTTGCTCCTCCCTTTTGATATTCACTTGCCCCCTACACATCTATTGCTACCTACAGTGTAACCACCTATGGCCCCAGAGAGGATGGGTCCAAACTCTGCATACACTGAATGTCCAAGCAAACAAATCTCAATTTTATCAAACATACCATTCCCCACTAAAAATGAAACAGTAAAATGAGTTTGAGGTTCCTAGGCCAATCATTTTGACTTGAGTGGCAGCCCCCAAAAAGTATTCAGTAAATGAAGTGGTTCCACTATACATTACCCCAGTTCCCTTAAATGCTGCAAAAATATTCTCTCTTGGCATAAGAGTATGCTTGTGGCATTTGAAGTGTACAGGTTTAGTCTTGGTTACATTAGAGGCAATTTACACTTAATTTTATAATGAAACAGAAGCCATGTTACAACTTGTAACTATGAAGAGATCAGTGTCTCTCCACAACACAGTACCTTGTGTGCCTCAAACTTGTAAACACCCTGTCTTCCATTTTTCTTTCAATCTCTTCTGGAAAATGAACTTTGAGTTCAAGAGGAACTCTCAACTGTGACATTTTAAGTGCCAGATACACTGCAGGAAGAGTTTTAAATCGTTCCATCGGATTACGAGAGAACTCCACAAAGGCCCTGTTCCAAAAAAACCCCACAAAATAAAGTAAGTCCACAGTAGATGCTTAGAGAACTCAGTGCTTCATTTCTTCCTGCCCTCTTCCAAACACAGAAAAAGTAAAAATGCAGTCTAAGTTTTTTAATCTACCCTTTATAACTTTAAAACATATTTACAAACAGTAATGGATATAGAGAAATTCTTCCAGGATGCTCAAGATTATACTAAAACTGAGACCTAGCAATATAAAAGATGAATATGAGAAAAACATGAATTAATTATGAAGGCAGTGAAACCTCAAGAAGGTGCCAAACAGCAAACATATGAGAGTCCTCACACTCTAGAGAGCTCAGGGTTCAAAGAGGCTCGGATCGGCTGGACATAAGGAGTCCAATTCCTTTAAAATGCTTCTGGAGTCTTTAACTGAAAAAGCTTGGGTCCCTATAAAAACAGCTGGAAATAAACATGGACCAGCATGGCTGCCTTTCTATGATACATTATCATCAAACATCCGGGTTTTCCGTTTGCTGCAGAAAAACATGGATTTCTACTTTAATGGAGAAAAAAAGGGAAACAGCAGGTTTCCCTTTGCAGGCTGGCACACAGGAAGCCAGCAGGGGATGCAATGTACATGTGCACATGTACATGCATGTGGCAGCTGGGCAGTGGTGGAGAGCAGCTCCCACAGCTCCGTCCAGGTAAGTCTATGGGGGCGAGGGACACGGGGAAAGAGGGCACATGTGATGCACTGTGGAACAGGTGGGGCACGGGGCACGCATTGGGAAGGGGAGCACAGGCAATGTGGCAAAGTGGTCAGGGTGGCCATGGTAATGCAGGGGCCACATGCCCCCCAAGATTTCAGTGCCCACAGTGGGGGGTAGGGCTGCAGCCAGGTTGAACTAGCTCTGGAGAGGAGCCACAGCCCAGTGGGTAGGACCGGTGTGGAAGGGAGTGCTGTGCTGCGACGGCCGCCAAGGTGAGGTGCAGCAACAGTGGCAATGCAGATTCATGCCCCTGCTGCTGCCAGGCAGACAATGGGGCCTCATCTTGACAGCCACAGCAGCATGGTGCTCTCTAGGCCACAGATGCATCTCCTCTGGAGCTGGTCTCACCTGACTGCAGCCCCGTGCCCTGCTGTGGGTGCAGAAATAAGGGAGACGGGGAGGCGTGGACACACGACTTCCCACAGCATCACCTGTGCCCCCATGGTTCCCCATGCATTGCCTTTGCCCACACCCCTTCCCTTCCCCACACCAACCCCATTCCCCACAAACCCACTCACTTCCTCACAGGCTGAGGCAGGGGGGCCGTGGGACGGGAGTGAGGGACACCAGCAGGGCTGGGGAGCTGTGGGTCAGGAACGAGGGGCACCAGCAAGGCGGGCTGTGGCTTGGGAGTGAGGGGAACTGGGGGGGGGGCCACTGTGGCTTGGGAGTGAGAGGCACTGGCACGGGCAGGGCACCAACATATCAGGGCTCCTCAGTACCATGAAGTAGCGGTAGGGAGACACCTACAGCTGGACCCGTGTCCTGGTAAGCGAAGGGGACAGGGAGAGCTCTGATTTTCCATGATTTAAAAAAAAGAAAACCAAATGCCAAAATACACAGGTATTTAGAATTTATTTAATTATAATGACTGAGGCACTGATAAGCTTCCAAATTGCTTTAAAATTGTAAATATATCAGTAAAACCTTGTGTTCAACTGATATTAATATATATAGTGGCATTTCATTTTAACTGTGGAAAAACGTGGGCTGGAGTGGGGATTAGATCAGCGAATGTGTGGGGGGGTGGTTATCAGAAAATTTGGGGAGGGGTTAAACGGAATACCAGGATCCCTGATTATTACACAACAGAAGAGAAAAAGACTGGAGCTGCTGTCAGGAACAGAAGACATGAGCACAAAAACAAACTGTTACTTGCTTCTCAACTCTATAATAAACCAACATGTATTTAGCTGTAAACCAACTTCCCTTACACCACCCAACATTTGGTTTTCAACTCAGACCACCCAAGCAGATTACATCCTAACAGATACTCTATAAGGATGTACTGACCAACTCTGGTTAACAAAAGTAGTGGCTCGGTAATTAATAAATCTGCACGTGTACCTTCATAATTATGACTTCTTTTTACTTACTTTGCTTCATCATATGCAATGGATTTTACTTGACCACACTGTCTGAAGAGTGATTGCAGCTGCTTATGATACAGGAACCCGTATGGAGGAATGTTCTTCACCTGTTAAAAAATAAATTATATTTCCATAATTTTAAATGTTTTCACTGACTGAATTCAACAGAACCTAAAGTATTTGCTCGTTCGCTCTGTCACTCAAGGAATACACTATTTAAAACGGAAGGAAAAGCCATCAAAATTGATAAATTTTGGACAAAAAGTAGCTTATGTAACAAGTATTTTTTTTAAAAATGTGCAACCACAACATCCCAAGATTTTGCCACTATTGCTGCCCTGCTTTCCAATGAAGTGTTGTACAGTACACTGAAGGTCATCACACAGCAGTCCAAACATATGCAATAAAGAGTAAAAGAAATAATCTCCAGCACAAAGGGTGCATAAGTACTTCCCCAAAGCAAGTCTGTTCCTTGATAAATGTAATTCTTTCATAGAGAAAAAGAGGAATTTTAAAGGTGGAACTCTCAGGTGTTTGGTTTCACCTCAACCACCTTCCTCATAATAGATTTATATATTATGCAAAAACTGCCTCCCTTAAAAAGCAAAAACCACATTTTATCACAAGGCAAAACTTTAATTTGTTTAGCATGCCAGAATTATTCCTGCAAGCCACCTGGTGTTAATTTAGTCCCTTGCTGCTTTTACTGGAAGGGAGATGGATTTAGTGGCCCACTCTTTAGAACTGTGTCCCACGGTGCAGGTCTTTTGCCTGCAAATGCTAAGGCATAGTAATTGCAACATTTAATTCCCAAGGTTTTTTAATTCATGGTATTCCTGGACCATTATATTTATGACCATTAAGATTTATCGCACACATCCACAACTGCAAAAGAGTTGGTTGTCTGCAACAAGGGAAAAGAGAGCTAACTTTTCCCACGGTCACTGGAGCTCTTTGACATGGATGGTCTGTAGTCATCACAGTATGCTGTGCTTCAAACATCCGGCCTTAGACATGCCTTTGCCTTAGCAGTACTCGTAATGTGCACCCTGTACCTGTAGAACATTTTCCACATAAGAACCAAATCTTTTACTGGAAGGAATACCTTAGGCCAGTGGTGCCCAGCTCATGCAACCCCATGGGACCTATGAACAGAGTGGGGCTGACCTATAAGCTACATCCAGAATATGGCAGGGTTTACAGAATATGGTGACAGCAGCATTAATTGTTGCAGCTCATAGCAGCTGCCACGCCTCACATCACTGTATTTCCAGCCCTGTGACCAACCCCATGGACCAGATGGCACAGCCAGCTTGCAGAGCTCCTCACAGGTCCAGAAATTTGGCAGCAGGGTGAACAGCAGTAGCATCAATTGCTGCAGCTCCAGGAGCTCTGGCAATGAATGCTGCCACCACTAGCCATGTAGGCTGGATTACAGGCTGGAGACTGTATCTTCATCACTCCTGCATTAGATCCCTGAGAACCTTCAACACGACCAAGTGGAGGACAGACTGGCCTTCCACTTGTGGGTGGCAGGCTTAATAAAAGTGAAGAGACAAGGCCACTGCACTTCAGCTCCATCAGCTGATCCCCCTAAGGTAAGTGGGGGTGGAGGGAACTGGCGCAATGGAGCCAGAGCCGGTGGGGAAGCCCCCTGGGTCCCTTTTTGCTGAGCCGGCAGGGAGCCATGCTCCCAAGCTGCACGCATAAACAGAGCGTGCCTGCATTTGCGCCGACAGCTGAGCAGTAAGGGCCAGGAGGGAGGCTCCAGCAAGGGTAGGGCAAAGGCATCACACAAAAATATAAATAAATAGCAATTTATAAAATGGTGTCAACACTGAATGCTGCTAGGGCCCTGCCGCCTAACTGGGGCTTGTTGGAGGCCTCCACCCAAACAGAGCCCACGGGGGAGCTGGCATCTCCCTGCCCCCCCGCCTGCGGGGAATGCCCAGCCGGGGGGGGGGGGGGGGGGGGGGGGGG